TCCCTCCCCCTCTCTCTAAAATCAATAAAGACATATTTTAAAAGGGTGTGCTAAACTTATAATCAGTCAAGTACAGTGGTACCTCAGGTTTTGAACGTCTCTGTTGACGAACATTTCAATTTATGAACGCCATAAACCCGGAAGTAAATGCTCTGGTTTTCAAACATGCCTTGGAAGTCGAACATGCCACACAGCTTCCACTGAGTGCAAGATCATGAGGCCTAGCTGTCAGCTGTTGATCCTTCGACTTTTGAATGTTTGAGAACTCGAACAGTCTTCTGGAACGGATTACATTTGAAAACTGAGGTACCACTGTATTTGAATGCTGATTGCAGAAGGGTATTATATGAAATTCTATTTACAAAGTCTAAGTGTCTTTATTTTTTTTTAATTTTTATTTTTCAATCCTCACCCGAGGATATTTTTTCCATTGCTTTTCAGAGAGCGTGAAAGGGGGAGAAAGAGAGAGACATCAATGTGAGAGACATACATCGACTGGTTGCCTCCCGCACTCACCCCAGCTGGGGCTGGGATCGAGCCTGCAACCGAGATATATGCCCTATGGCTGGAATCGAACCCAGGACCCTTCAGTCCACAGGCCGATGCTCTAACCACTGAGCAGCGGGTTAGGGCTAAGGTGTCTAATTCTTCCCTACTGGATCAGATCTCTGGGGCCAACTGTGTTTCTTCTCTCTGCAGCAATTCCTGGCCACACAGTTGATTATGCAAACATCTGAGTCTGGGATCAGTGCTAAAAGTCTTCGAGGGAGAGATTCTACCCGCAAACAGGATGCCTCAGAGAAGGTGAGGAGACCACGAAAGAGCCTGTTTGCCATTGTTCCAGTGCTAGAAGTCTGAAGCATCCAAAGAATCTTCTGGTACTGCTTGGTATTGTTGGGCTTCTATATTCCAGTGGTGTACATACAAATCTTAGATTGGTGGTTGGTGGCTCCCATCCAAACAGAAGAAACTTGCTGTGACTGGAAGGCCTAGTCACATGGGAGAAATTAAGAGCTGAATGAGCAAATTACTAATTTCTCTGGGAGAGGACTCGGTGCTCAGCAAGGTGGGGGAAATGACAGCTCGCAGCAATTGCAGACCATGAGTTCCTGTTCCAGAGGCATAATGGCCAGTTTGCTTTTGCATCTCTTTCTTCTTGTTCTTGAGTTTTTAAATTTTGTCTTTGTGTGTGTGGTGCTTATGTCTCTGTCCTGAGGTTTGGGGTGCTTATGGCTGAGAGTTTCTGTGGAACCTGATCAGTGTTTGTTTGTCCTCTAACAGGACAGTGTCCCCATGGGCTCTCCTGCCTTCCTTCTCTCTCTCTTTGTAAGTATTGAATGGCTGCAAGGGGTGGTGTTGCCACAAAGATTCTCTGCTCCCGCTGGGGGTGGGTGGCAGAGGGAAATCCAACATGCAGACTGTATCAATGTGTCAAACTTCTGTTTATTCAAGTCATTGAATAAGAAACTGTCTCTTTTTCTGCATTCCTGTCTTTCTGCATGTGTGTGTGTGTGGGCTGGGTAGGGACCTTTTTATGAGTTCACTGGTGTGAAATGAGGTATTGGTAAGGATCTAGGATGTACCCGCTCCTCATTTCTTGACTCCACCTTTTGCCAATTCTTTTCTTACAAACAAGATTATTCAGAGCAGCAGCTGCTGGCTGGCTTTTAAAAAGTGTTCCTCGTACTGGATACTCAGCACAGAGTTTTTATCTTTTCCCTTAATATGAAGTTGCAAGACTGATGCCTGATGCACAGACATTCAGTAAAATATAAGAGATCTCAATAACTGACCACTGTAGACAGTAGTGGCTTGTGGAATTAGAGATACGCTTAGTAAAGCTAATCTAAAGACTTGTTCCTTCCTCCATGAATCAAACACCTTTGACTCTGTGTTATTCCTTTTGGGGCACTGAGACATGATGTAATGGAAAGGGCATCAGGGTAGATAGAAAAACAACATGATCTTAAATTGACTGGATTATTTCTTGGAGCCTTGTTTTCCTCATCTGACTGATGGAGCTAATATAATGAAGTACCTGTCCAGCCTACCTCACAGGGATGTTGTGAGGATATAAAATGAAATAATAGGTATGGGAAAAAAATTAAAGTGTTATACAAATGCAAGATGGTATTTCTATTTTTACTGTTGCCTCAAAGGCAACTTGTGTTCATGAGCTCTAAAAATTTTAAAGTTCTTGCATGTTAGAAATGTAAAAATGGCTTGGCCAAGCAAAAGTGTTCATTCATCTTGCCTACAGGCCTCAGCCTGTACCACAGACAGAACACTGTAATCTCCATTCTTTTTATTGGCCTGCAACAGTGACTCTGGATCCCCAAGCAATTGGCTGGCTGTTACAAGGCTGGTTAATAGGATCTTTTATCTATTGAAGACAGCAGTGTATTGCACAAGAGGAAGGAGGGAGAGAGCAGCAGATGGAAAGAAGCCTTCTGATTGTCCTGATCTCATGGAAAACAACTGTCAGGAGGTGCTAGGGAACTAGTGCCAGGGTCAGTCTGCAGGAAAGGCCTTTCTTATAGGGACCAACAAACAGCTGGACAGGTATGTTAGCCAAGAATCTCACTATCCACTGCCCTTTCTGACTCACCCACCTTTCTTTTACTCTTCCTGTTCCTTTGCACATAATTCGGGGGCTGGGTGGGATGACAAAAAGTCATTTTGTGGGACCCCAGATGAACTCCAGCAACCTCTCTGGTTGGCAGGAGCAAGATACTCTGTACTGTATATTCTCTCACAAACTGCTACCAGTGATTTTTACCACACTCTATGGGAAGACATATATGCTTCTCATTTCCTGGATTTTTCTGCTGATTCCCCTCTCCCCCAAGAAACCAAACCCCCAGCATTCTTGTACTTTATCTTATCTTTAAACCATCTTCACTCATACTGCCTTTCTTTGTCTGCCTGTCATTTAGGATGGGGGCACCAGGGGGCGCCGCTGTGCCATTGAAGCGGATATGAAGATGAAAAAGTGAAGTCTCAAAGAACCCTCATTGAGCTGAACCTGAAAAAGAAGTAAACAAGATAGAGCTTGGGCTTGTGGGCCCAGTTCCAGAAGTGGGAGTTACAGAAGAGAAGGTGCCTGGGCCATGTGACATGAGCTGGGAAAATTTCTCAGAGAGTTGGAGTAGCACAATTGCCTGTTTTAGGGCAGAAATCATGGGCTTTGTTAATGTCCTGATGTGTAACTAGCAGATTGTAGCTAATTTGTACTGTCTTGTGAAGTGTACAGACTTTAAAAAAAAATCTGTGAAGTGTGTGTGTTCACAATAAACTCTGAAAGAAAACTCTAGTCTTTGGTGTGTTCTGTGTGCGTGTGTATGTGTGTGTATGAAACCTGTGATTTCTTCTGCATGATAACTTAGGTCATTTGTTAGAGAGGGAAGGTGGTCTTATGAAGTGAATTATTCTACTACAGCTCAGAGAAAGTAAATAACCTGGGTTGAATTTATAATTAATGTTTTAAAGTGTTGCATTAAGGACTCATTCAGCTTTTTGAATGTTTGGAAAAATGGGTTTTAAGTTTTGTTCATGGCATCATCCTAAGATTAGAGCATGGATATAGGTAGTGCTGACCTTTATTTCATTCATTTGTACTTAAAACTATCTTTGCAGAAGGTATTTGTAGGATAGCGTATTACTATTTCCTTATCTATTTCTACATGTAGGATTCTAAGTTTTTTAGAATTCATAACATTGATGTTTGAAGGCTAAACTTAGTTTAAAAGTTGTCAAATTTATCACCTGAGTTTATTCCAGCTTCTCTTACTAAATAAACATTAATGCATTGGAAAGCAGTTATGAGCCTTTTATTATAAAGAAATGGAGATTAATAGGGTATTGCTTAGTACTTTGAGTCTTGAAAAGTTGGGTTTAAGAAAGATAATTAGAAGTCAGATCTTTTTGGTTTAAATAAAACTAAAAGCTTGTTAGGATGTTAACAAAGTAAAAGAATACTTCTTTATGAGGTGATGGAAAGGTGTTTAATCAATCCAGGAAAATAACTGGCAGTATATCCCCGAAGCAATGCACGAGCATGCATGTAATATAAGCAATGAAGCTGTAAAAATTGGAAAAATGTGGACAAAGAAGTCAATTAAAGGGACCTAGATTTTGGGATGATGTTGAAGGTGGGGGCAATAAGGAGACATGTAATTAGAACAGGCATCATACTAAGGAATAATGAAGTACAGGTGCCAGGCCACGGGAACAAAATAGGGCTCAATTTATGGAGGACTTTGGCAGATTGAGAAATTTATATTGAAGGGATAGTTATAGTAAAGCCATGAACATTGTTGAGAGCAGACTGGATTAAGGACAGAAACTGAACAGGGGGCTATAGCATTTACTGAGGAGCAAAGGANAAGCCATGAACATTGTTGAGAGCAGACTGGATTAAGGACAGAAACTGAACGGGGCTATAGCATTTACTGAGGAGCAAAGGATGGGCATTGAGAAATATTGTGGAAGAAAATTGGGAAGTAGACATGCTTACCAAATACAGGAGAGGAGTTAAAACAGGGTCAAGAAAACAAGTGTTCATGGGGATGATGAAATTGGGGAGAGCAAGTGATTTTGGAAATAATCAGGAAGGTAAGTGATTGTAGTTTTGGAAATGCTCAGTTGAAACAGATGGTAGGACACCAAAAGGGAATCGACTTGTGGGTACATGGAGACTGAGACCAGAGTGCATATCAGAAATAAAGAGATTTGGGAGCCACCTGAAAAGACATCAGAGTTGAAACCTCAAAGTATATATGTTGTTTTTTATTAATGAGGAAGCAGAGGACCAAGCAAGCACATAGATAGCAAGGGTTTATTGAAAATTGTAAAGGGAGAAGACTAAGGGGTAAGAATCAGGATAGCGTAGTACTCTAATGAAAAGGAAAGGAAGGTATTTTTAAAACTTGATGTTGCAGTTCTCATTCTGAGAAGTGAGTTGGATATGACCAGAAGGATACCACAGATAAAGTGTGCTTTGAGGATTTAATGATTGATAGGTTAATGTCTATACACTGAGGAAAATAACACTTAACCCTGAAATTTATTGCCTTTGCAGTTGATTTTTAAGAGTGATTTGGGATAGAGGAGTTCTGTCTGGCTAACTATGGTCCAGTTCTTTATTTTAATTTTTCAATTACAGTTTACAATCTATTATTTTGTATTAGTTTCAGGTGTACATCATAGTGGTTTGACAATCATACTTGCAGTGTTCCCCCTGATATTTCCAGTACCCACCTGGTACCGTATTTATTACAGTATTATTGACTATATTTCCTTTGCTGTACTTATGCTCCAGTTCTTTCTCTTTTGGAGTATGAGGAAGTCCAAGGAAAAAATACTTATTTGGTTATATCTTTATTATATTGTTTGACATGGAACTTTTTCTTTATTCCCAGTGAGAGAGGTCATTTTGTCTCCTGGTGTCTCACTTCAGCTATCTTTTTACTGTTCCTAATGATGAGTAGAAGGAAATTTTTGATCCCTTTCTACTGAACTTGGGAGGTGCAAATGCCTTAGGAATATTGATTTGAGCGAATTTAATGCATTTTTTTTCTGTGTATTTACAGATGGGGCGTGAGTGGGTTTGGTTGGATTCTGAACAAGACTATCCCAATGACTCTGAGTTGAGCAACAACTGCAGGTCCCTCTTCAGCTCATGGGACTCCAGTCTGGATCTTGATGTGGGCAGCTGGAGGGAAACTGAGGAGCCAGGGACTGAGGAACTAGAGGAAAGCAGCCCAGGGACAGAATCTAGTGAGCTGCTTATGGGGGACGGAGGCAGTGAGGAATCTCAGGAAGAGGCAGAGCAAGTCAGCCACCAGAACCACCTCCACTTTCTCTCTGAGGTAATGGGGAGTCATTCCCAAAGTTGGAAGAGTCTCAACTCTGTAAGAGAATGCTTACCAGTATATATTTTTACCATTCTTAATATTGTTTACTAAAATATAAGCACAGTGGCAGGGACTAAGTTCATTGCTGTGTCTTAAGCACTTGGTGCTAACACAAAATATGCTCCAAATGTGTACTTTTTGATTGACTATTCTAAAATCCCAGTCATTAGGACCCTGAGTCAAAGGAAGTGAACTTCCTGTATGCAGGACTGCCCCATAAAAGTATCCTTGCAATTCATTCTTTCAGTCATGAAAGGTCATACTTGCCCAGACTCTCCTTGAAGCTTATAATGTTTTGACTTTAAGGCAGTATTTTTATAGTATTGTTATTACCCTGGTTAAAGGCTGAGGACCAGAAATAAACAGAATTGGACAGAGTTTATACTTATGCAGCAACTATACATATTCAGGTGAACCTAGGTCAAGATCAGCAAGAATCCAAATGTTGCCACTTCTGTCTGTGGCAGACAAAATTTTCAGCAGTTTGCTAGCCAATCCCAATTGATCAGAGTTGACACTTGAGATGAAAATGTAGACCATAAGCTCTTTGAAGAGGCGAGAGCAATATGTATCTTGTTTACTGGTAGGACCCTAACAACTATTACAGTGCCTGTGTATATAAGATATTTAATAAATTTTGAATGATTGATGGAGTTAATTAACCTATTTGCCATCTCAGGCTTAGTCACAGTGGAAATGTAATCATGTGGCATTATTGATACGTAGATGATTTCCATTGGTGTTCCTATGCATCTAACAATAGACTATGATTGCAGGTAGCTTATTTAATGGAGCCATTGTGCATTAGCAGCAAAGAATCAAGTGAAGGCTGCTGCCCTTCATCTGATACCAGACAAAAGGAAAGGGAAATTGAAGCTACTGAAGGAGAAGAGCAACCCTGCAGAGAGCCTGAAGAGCTTTCAGCTAAGGTAGAACCATTGGTAGCTGAGAAGTCACTGGGAGAAAATGGAAGGCCAGAGGTGGCTTCAGCTCTCTCAGATATTTGTGCAGCTCAGGGACTACCCACAGATAGTGAAGAGGTAAGTGAATAACTTAAGCCAGCTGTCTGGTCCTCTGCACAGGGAGGCAGAGCAGAGTGGTGAAAGCACATAGGCTAACTCCATAGGGTTAAACCACCTGGGCCCAAATCTTGATTTTAGCACCAATTAGCTGTGTGACCTTAAGCATGTTAGTGAACAGTTTAGAACCACAGTTTTCTCTGTTGTAAATGGAATTAGTTCTCTACCTTATAGTTTTGTTGTGAGATTAAATGAGAATTCATAGAAAGCATTTAGCATAGGGCCTAGCTCATAGTAAGCAATTGGTAAAATTCAGAATTTATAATATCATTAATATTATATGACCAGCTAGACTAGTTAGCTCCAGGGCCACAAATGATAATGAAAATTTTAAAAGAAAACAGCATCCATCTAGAACTGAGTATATTGCCTTTTTGCATTTTTTCCCTGGAGTACAGAGTCAAAGTCAAAGTTCTCCAGCAAAATTGTTAACAAGAATTCATTGACTTAGGTCTAGTTAAGTCACATTTCTCTAATTTTTTTTATAGCTTTTTATAATTGGCCTTTTCCCACCTTAAGGTCAGCTTTCATTTACTCCATGCATGTAAAATTACATGCAGAGGTCCTGGCCATGTAGCTCAGTTGGGTAGAATGTTAACCCAATACTCCAATGTTGTGGATTCAATTCCTGGTTAGGGCACATACAAGAAACAACCAATGAATGCATACATAAGTAAAACAATAAATCGATCTCTCCCTCTCTCTCAGCAATAAAAAAACATTAAAATTACCTTGCACATAGTAAATCTCTTTCTAAAGTTTCCTTTGTTTCCTGGCATTCTCAGGGAGAGGTTCAGCAAGAATCCAAAGAGGAGGACCAGGGTGAAGGGTATGTGTCAGAGATGGAAGACCAGCCCTCCTCAGGTGAGTGTGATGATGGCTCTAGCATTCAGGAGGCTCCTCTGGTGGATATCCTTTTCAACCATGCTACTTCCTCAAAGCTGTAAGTATAGATGTTTATCCAAGGTTGTTAAGATGTATGCTTTTACTTCTGTTTATGCCTATTTGAATTGTTAGCATGAACATGCATTACTTCTGTAAATTAAAAAAAAGGAAATTAAAGTTGGAATGCACTAGAAATAGAATTAAATATAATTTCACTGTATAAATAGAAGTCTTTATGTTTTCCTCCTATAAGACAAGTCTGTTTTATCAACATTAAGAATCTCTTTCATAAATCACACTTCTCTCTAAGTACGATTTTTATCAAGGAAGCATTGCTAATTCAGATTGTCCCTCATATCTAATGTTATACAAACTATACTTCTTTTAAAAATATTAAGTAAGACAGGCCCTAGCCGGGTAGCTCCATTGGTTAGAGCACTGTCCTGATAAACAAAGGTTGTGGGTTTGATCCTTGGTCAGGGCACATACAAGAATCAACCAATGAATGCATAAATATGTGGAACAACAAATTGATCGATCTCTCTCAAATCAATCAATAAATAGATAAAACTTTAAAAATAGTAAGCTCCTATGAACTTGAAGTAAAAAATATTTTGAAGTTATGATCTCCCTTGTTCCTTTTTCACAAACCTTAGGAAATTGTTTATATAATTGTCTCATGTTTTTATAAATAATTATGGGGTGAAAGAGCATATTTTAGATTTTTTTTCAGTAAAGTGCATTTTTTCTAAATCAGAAACAGTTAGTTTTGTTATGATAATAAATAAATAGTTCCTTTTCTAGGCTTGGTCTTTTATCTATCTATTGAGAGAAGATAACATGAACTGTGTGTGTGTTTTTCTTCACTGCATTCCTGATCCACCCATATGTCTTTGGAAAGGCAAACCAATAATTATTTTAGCTTTTTTAAATTTAAGGTATACAACTGAACCATGCATATATATTTTTTAAATAGAAGATTTCAAATTTTTATTATACAAGCAGAATAGAGCTTATGCCTGGCCAGCATGGCTCAGCAGTTGAGCATCGACCTATGATCCAGGAGATCGAGGTTCAATTCCTGGTCAGAGCACATGCCCGGGTTGCCAGCTCCATCCCCAGCAAGGGGCCTGCAGGTGGCAGCCGATCAATGAATCTTGCTCATCATTGATGTTTCTATGTTTCTCTCCCTTTCCCTTCCTCTCTCTGAAAAATCTATTTAAAAAAATAAAAATAAAAATATATTAAAGAAGAAGAAGAGTACAGCTTAAAACGTAGGTTGTTGAAGAATTGCTTCCTTTGCTTTTCTGTAACTCCCTGTGTAAGTTTGATAACTACTATCATACCAGGCAGATTGCATGTGATAACTATCTAAATACCAGGAAATCTCTACTCTGGAACATTTTATCTCAAGACATTTCAGTGTCCTGCATGGCATACTCTATACTCATCTTAGGATTTAGGTTAAACATGAAATCTTTATTAGAAAGCAATAGATACTAGGAATTGAGTTTGCTTGGTCAGATAGTTTAAGGGGAGCTAGAAAGATGAGTTTTTGTGCTATATCATTGGGAAGCTTAAAACTACTTTGAGAGAGAGACATTCTTCAGGCCCCTCTTTTCTGGCTTCACCCTTAGTCTATACTGACTCTTAGGAGTAAAGAGAAGTAGAGCCTTTGGAGCATCACTACCAGTCTGCAGCTCCTTCCCACTCCCACACTTTTACTTGTAGTGCTTGGCATGCATTTCTAAATAAATGGAAATAAAGATAAGCAAGGGGTTGTTTCTTGAAATATTGCAAAGGCAGTTGATTATGAGGTTATAGAACCTAGTGCAGTACCTTTCTTATAATGGAAACTTAATAAATATCTGTTGTGTGGATGTGTGAATAAAATTGCACCAGTACCAAGGAGGAGTTATTCATTCTGGTTGACTGATCAGAAACACAGGTAGAGGCTTGTTTACAGGTCTTTAAATGCCTTGTTCTGATAGGGTTCTGTGTTTAAGGATAAGTTGATTTTTGTGGTACATAATTTAGATGCAGGTAAGATATTATTGTATCATGAAAATGAATAGTTATGTGAAGCTGCTCAAATTGGAGAAAGATAACATGAGATGTTAATTGTACTCAAATGGATGCATACAATAAGTTACATAAAGCAAAATGAGGGTGTGAAAACAGGTGTGAAGAGAACTCATTTAGAGAAAATAATACAGTGGATAAAGTGGGAAGTGTAACATGATGTTTAACTTTGGAATAAATAGAAAACTTGCCAACCTGGAAAATTATAAAAAGAAATAGCCCTGGCCGGGTAGCTCAGTTGGTTAGAGTATTGTCCCTATACGTTAAGGTTGCCAGTTCAATCCTCGGCCAGGGCACATGCAAGAGGCAACCAATGAATGCATAAGTAAGTGGAACAACAGATAGGTGTTTCTCTCTCTCTTAAAAAAAAAAAAAAAAAAGAGAGAGAGAGAAAGAAAGAAAGGAAAGAAAGGAAAGAAAGAAAAAGAAAGAAAAGAAAAGAGAAGAGAAAAGAAGAAAAGAAAAAAAGAATAGAAAAGAAAAGAGAAAAGAAAAATCATTGAGCCCAGCTGAGTGTGGCTCAGTGATTGAGCATCGACCTAGGATCCAGGAGATCGCGGTTCGATTCCCGGTCAGGGCACATGCCCAGTTTGAGGGCTCAGTCCCCAGTCGGGGGCCTGCAGGAAGCAGCAGATCAATGATGACTCATCATTGATGTTTCAACTCTCTCTCTCCCTCTCCCTGCCTCTCTCTGAAATCAATAAAGGCATATTTTTAAAAAAGTGACTGCTGTTAGCTATCATATTAAAAAAAAGAAATAAAACATTGAACAGTTGCATCTCTGAAGAAAAACTAAGTAAATTAGTTTAGTCCAGAGAAGGAATGGCCATGAGAATAAATAAATTTTTGTTAGGTATTTTAAGGATTACTATATAGAGAGTGAAAAGGAAATATGTTTATTTTTAAATGCATCTTTATTGATTTCAGAGAGGAAGGGAGAGGGAGGGAGAGAGAGAGAGAGATAGAAACATCAATAATGAGAAAGTCATTGATTGGCTGCCTCCCACACATCCCCCACCAGGGATTGAGCCTGCAACCCGGGCATGTGCCCTGACCAGGAATCGAACCTCGATCTCCTAGATACTAGGTCGACACTCAATTGCTGAGCCACGCCTGGCCGGGCTGGAAATATATTTAAGTTGTGCAGCAATCAGATGAAATGTGAGAATTCTTTGGGATGTGAAACCAGGTATTTACTTATGTGGAAACATGGGAGAGGTACTTAACAATGTGGCATATTTCTACATAAAAATGGACCAGATTCAGTTATCAAATACTTAATTGAGCACTAACTATGTGCCAGACACTTGGGAAACATCAGTGAACAAAGACTACTTTCATAGACCAGTATTTTAGAGTCACAGGTGCTAAATTGCAAATCAGCAAAGAGACCAAAAGGCACAGGCAATTGTAGATTTGTAGTATACTTCATGAGACGGTAACTACTTCATTGGGTAATAGTGATTAGTAAAACAATATTTATAGAGTTTTTGGTCCCTTACGGAAGCATTAAACATGTTTTCATTCTTATGGTTTTATATTCCTTCAGATATTAAGTAGGAGCACTATTTGAGAAAACCTCATTACCACCTAGGGGAGACAGAATGCCATTTGTGAAGTTACTGTTTCTTTTCTGTCATTTTTTTATCCCATAGGTCTGATCTAAGCCAAAGTGACCCTGTTCAGGATCACTTACTATTTAAGAAGACTCTCCTGCCAGTATGGAAGATGATTGCTAGTCACAGGTAGGTCTCCAAGCCACTCTTGGTATTCATAGCCACTCTTCTCATTTAGAGTGACTTTCCATGGTTTCATCACCCATTCTGGATTTGGCCCCTAACAGGTTCAGCAGTCCATTTCTGAAGCCTGTGTCAGAAAGGCAGGCACCAGGATACAAGGATGTGGTGAAAAGGTCAGTGGAAAAGGGGTCAAGAAAGGTTGGTTGCTTTTATATCTGTCTCTTCATACTTTATTTTCCATCTATTAGATTATTTATTTCATTTCTATTACTTACAAGCTTAAGATATACTTTGCAAGTGAACAAGTTTATAAAGTTATGGTGAGCTCAGTCCTTATTTGAGAAGGAATGAGGGAACAAATAGGCTTTTTTTTCATTGTTAAATTTTAGGTAATATGATCCATTTATTATGATCTTACGTTAGCGTTCAGTAGTTTTTGACATTGTTCTTTTGGAGCAAAATTTTAAAAGGAACACTGTATTCATTCTAACAGTTATAGGTATGCTCAGGCAAAGATGTTACAAATATTGGTTGATTGCAGTATTTTAGATTTTTATAGCATGTTTCATCTAAAATGCTGTCAGAAACCAGTGTGTTAATGGAGTATGAAAGATTAGGGAAGTACCTTTGGAGACAGACTCCTTCATTCTATAGATAAGGAAACTAAGTCTCAGAGGTGGTCTTGACTTGCCTGTGATCAACAATGAATAGCAGAGCTGGAACTAAACCCCAGATTCTTACCTCTCACTTCAGTCCTCTTTTTATACTGCTGTTCCTTCTCTTATATATACCCACTCTCTGTGTCCCATTAATAATTTATTTGTCTTAATAGTCACTTGATTCTCTTTTCATCTCCATGAAAGGAGAAAAAAATTCTTAGCTTTTGATTATGCAATAATAATAGTAGATTAAATGCTTAACATATGACGACACATTGTAAACAATCAGTCAATAACTACCATATGACAAACTGATCATTAGAGTTCTTTACAACTTTGGTACCTGGGGCCAGCATTCCTCCTACCATAGTATAGTGGCTGGACCTATAGGTTCTGAAATCAGGCTGCCTCTGAATTGGAATCCAATCTGTGTGACTTTGAGCAAGTACTTAACCTCTTCAGATCTCAGTTTGCTCATTGCCAGTTGGTTATAATAATGGTACCTACCTTATTATACGTTTATTGGGAGGTTTAACTGAGTTAATATAGAAAGTACCTAACATAGCACTTGGCCTGTTTTAAGTAGTAGCAGTCAAACGTTAACTGCTGTATTTTATTATCTGATGAGGATTGTTATATTTACTACCGTTTTCATTAAGAGCTGGTTACTGCCCCGGCTGGTGTGGCTCAGTGGGTTGGGCATGGTCCCATGCACCAAAGGGTTGACAGTTCAGTTCCCTGTCAGGATACATGCCTGGGTTTTGGGCTCCATCCCCGGTAGGGGGCAGCAGATCAGTGTTTCACTTTCGAATCCATGATTCTTTTTCTCCCTCTCCCTTCCTCTTTCTCTAAAAATCAATTAAAAAAAAAAAGCTGATTAGTTCTCCAAGAGAGCATGTTATGTCACCAGATTTTCCACATGAAGGTTAGATTTCCTCTGGTTTCTCTTGGCCACCTGTAGGCCCATGGACTTAACTACCCTGAAAAGGAATCTGTCTAAGGGACGGATTCGTACCATGGCACAGTTCCAGCGGGACCTGATGCTGATGTTCCAAAATGCTGTGATGTACAATGACTCTGATCATCATGTGTACCATATGGCTGTGGAGATGCAGCGGGAAGTCCTGGAGCAGATTCAGGTACTGTATGTAGACAGTTGCAAGAAAAAGGAGTGTAATCTCTGGAATGAGATTTTAGAAAGTCTGTGAGAATAAGGGTGGGCAATGTTGAAGTGTTTCCAGAGTTTATATTTAGAGATGACTCAAGGATTGACTTTTTTTTACCTGCTGGTTTGGAAAATCCTGAGCCTCAGTAGGACCAGTTTTAATAGTGAAGTAAAGTAGTCTAGGAAGGCAGACAGCACTGAAGGGCTCTTAAGAGAGCTGTAATGGTAATGGGAGCTCTTGCTTCCAGAGCCTCAAACCAGAGGGCTAACCATGCAAACCAGAGGCTGGAGTCACTGGCCATTTTAATGTTAATATTACTGTATGTTTACACTATCCCATCTATAGGGGATAAGATATAACCAGAAGATGACATTTGAGGGTTTATTTTCTGGGAAACATTGTATTTTAAAGAAAAAAGGATAGTTATATTGCATTGTGGAAAAATAAATAAAAATGCATTCAAACCTCTGGCTTTTAAGATTCATAACTTGCTATCTGCCTTGACTCTGTAGGTGCTGAGTATTTGGTTAGACAAAAGAAGAAACTTAAATAGTCTGGAATGAGAACCAACCAACCAACCCAGTGCATGATGGAAAACCTGTTTTGTTAACCTGGAGCTGCTCCCTGACCTTTTCTGGAATTTGGACCTCTTATTGAGACTCTAACCCAGTACTTGTTTACCACTTCTCTTATCTTTTTTAATAAGAATAATACCTTAGCTCACAGCCAAGGAGTTAAAGATGCCTGTGGACTTAATATAAAGAAAAAGGGGAAAAGTGAGATTTGGGATAATGCCATAAATGTTGCCCATATCTTTGTTCCATAGACTTAATTTAAAGGTAACTGGATTAAACCTCTTATTACTGCTCTATAAATAAATGTTAATTCACAAGTCAAAGATTGCTTTTTCCCCTTTCTTTTTAAGAGTAGTTTATTGATTTTTAGAGAGACGGAAAGGGGGAGGGAGTGAGAAACATCCATGTGAGAGCTGCCTCCTGCACACCCCCTACTGAGGATGGTGCACCCTACCCCACACCCAGCAACTGCCCTTGACCTGTAATGGCAGGGGCAACCTCATGGTGCTGGGGACGATGGTCAACCGAGTCACCACAAAATTGTTAATTCTCACCAGAGGATATTTTTTCTAATGATTTTTACAGAGAGTGGAAGGGAGAGGGGGACAGGGAGAGAGGTGTGGGGAGAGAAAGAGAGAGAAACATCGATGTGAAAGAGACACATTGTTTGCCTCCCCAATGCGCCTGACCAGGGGGGCGCAGGCCAACACTAACCATTGAGAACACCGGCCAGGGCGAGAGATTGCCTTTTAATGATTACAGAAGCTGGGAATAGAGGGGCAGCATCATTTGGTGAAATGAAGAAGGTATTTGACATGGAAGGGGGGTGGGGTGGGATGAAGGAAGAGTGTTTATACTTTGTATCATCATTTATGAAATGGAGATCATTGAAGCATACTTCAAATGAGTAGGAGGATAAATTAGATAAATTGTGAGGAAAATGTAAGAAAACGTCTAGTGCGCTAAGATTCATAACGGGAATAAAAATGCTGGCGGCTGGCTCCCTTTCTTGGTTAAGAGGAGCTCTCCCGGGGCTTTGAAGCAAGCAGCTGGGATTGGCCCTCTGCAGCCACCGTCCCTAACCTGGGCTTCGGGTCTCCTAGCAACAAGCTGTGGACGCACTGGAGGAGTAGCGCGGAGGTAAATTGCCAGACCCGTGTAGGAATGGTGGATGCAGCTGGGAGAGGTGCAAGGAACCTGGGAATCCTACTTTCCAACCAGGCCTGACCCTATGTGTAGTCATCCTGGCGGGCCGGGGTCGCTCACCCTGAGAGTTGCCCACCCACTCTCCTGTTGCTGCCACCGAGGGTCTGCGCCAGTCCCAGGCCTTCAGATTGCCTGTGGCCTCTACCTCGTTGAAAGTATTTAGGAATTCTCTCTCTCTCTTTTTTTCTTTTTTGTTCAGTCCTCAGGGACATGGACAACAGTGTGGTGATTGCGGGGAGGAGGGGTGGGTAGAGGTGGAAGGGGGCATAGAGGGAATAAATGGTGATAGAAAAAATAAATTCTACAAAAAGTGTTTAGGAAAGCCCAAAGCACAACCCCAGAGTAGAAATCATATTGCAGGCATACCTCATTTTATTGCACTTCGCTTTCTGCGCTTCACAGGTATCCCGTGTTTTACAAACTGAAGGCAACACCCTACACCAGGAAAAAAAATTATTGCTCCCTCTATTGCGATACTGGAGACAGAACCTGCAGTATCTCCCAGGTATGCCTGTACATGCTTACAGAAAAAGATATTGCAGTTTCTAACTTTATAAATTAATAAAAGCAAGTGCCTAATAATGCCATTCTTAATCACAATTACATTTAATTGGGGGGGCGGGATGCGTGTTATTGCAGTTGATACCTGTCAAGAGTCTCTTACATTCTACCTGGAAAAGCCACAATGGAAATATCAATGCACCCACCTCAGATATATGTAGAAAGAACCCTGGCCATTATCAAACCAGATATTGTTGACAAAGAGGAGGAGATACAAGATATTATTCTCAGATCTGGATTCACCATTGTTCAGGTAACTTCTGGGCACAATGATTGTGTTCTTTTCTTTCATTGATCATTGTTTTTCATGTTTATGTAAATGTGTTAACCTATTTAGATTCATAGTATTTAGCATTAAATTTAGGTTTATTCTTCTAACTATAAAAGTTATATGCAATAGTTTTAAAAAGTTTTTTCACATTTCAAAATAATGTAAAATGAGAAGTGAAATTATTTTACGTCCTTTTCCACTCCAAGACCCAGTCTCCAGAGAGAGGCAAACACTGAACACTTTTTGTTCTTCCAGGATTTTCTATGCATTCACAAACATTCCCCTCCCCCACCTTAAAATAGGACAATCCCCTTTCCTTGACCACCTTTACAAAGTTCCTCAGATCGCATTTCAGATCATTACATCTGAATCTAGCTCATTCTTCCTAACTTTTGAGTAATATCCCCCTGTGTGGATGACCCACAATTTATTTACTTGGTTCCCTATCAATGAACTTTGAGACTGTTGGTATTTTTTTTCAGTTACTGCAAACACTTAATTGACGTTTCTCTCTCTCTCTCCCTCTCCCTTCCTCTCTCTGAAATCAATAAAGATATATTAAAAAAAAAAAAAAAGTCTCTTCAGCAGGTCTTCAGTTGGTAAACACGGATGAATGTTCCAATTTAATTTTATTTCCAGTTTGGTTCTGGGAGGAGGTGCAAGAAAGACCCACCTACTCCACTGCCATCTTGAAACCACTGCATGTTATTTTTTTTAATCCTCACCCAAGGATATTTTTTCCATTGCTTTTCAGAGACAGTAGAAGGGGGAAGAGAGGGGGAGAGAAACATCAGTGTGAGAGAGAGAGAGACATTGACTGGTTGCCTCCCCCGCATGCCCCAAGGTAGGGGATCAAGCCTGCAGCAGAGATATGTGCCCTTGGTGGCAGTCGAACCCGGGACCCTTCAGTCTGCCACTTTTCCATGTCTCCCCTCCAATTCTTCCCTCTAACCATCGGTTAGAGACTGACGCTCTAACCATTGAGCAAAACCAGCTAGGGCAGCATGTTATTTCTAAGTACCACAATGAGACCAACTCCCTAAAACAATATAGGGAAATTTCTGAAGAAATAGGAAAATGCCACAAATAGGAAAAATGAATTTGAATAGTCAAAGTCCAATTTTGTTACTTTAATGTATACAAAGTATACATCAACAAAATACTGATGATTGGAATGTTTTTACTTTAAGAAGGAGATATGATGAATTTGTCATTAACAAAGAATATGTTGATGGAGACTGTTAAACATTAGGAATAGTTTTTCTTAAGTAGGTTAAATAATTCTTACAATTTTATTTACAACCTACATTTAATTTTCTTGCCTTTTTTCATATTACAAAAATAAAGCTCAAAGCTTTAGTCAGATTGGTACTAATTTCAGGTTATTAATGACTTAATGAGGTATTCTTGAACTGTCATTTTAAATGCTTCTGTTGATTTTGTTTCTTTTATAGAGAAGAAAACTACGTCTCAGCCCTGAGCAATGTAGTAACTTTTATGTGGAACAGTATGGGAAAATGTTTTTTCCCAATTTAACAGCTTACATGAGTTCTGGACCACTTGTTACCATGATATTAGCTAGACATAAAGCCATCTCTTACTGGAAAGAACTTTTGGGACCAACTAATAGCTTAGTAGCTAAGGAGACACACCCAGACAGGTAACTTTTCTAGGGAAAAATGCAATCCAACTATGAAAATGAAGGAAAAACCCCCTGATTTCATTGTAATAGGAATTTTATTTGAAAGTTTTCCTAAGTTTAACTGTTTTTTTGTTGTTTGGTTTTTTGGGTGGCAAGGAGGTCCATTTTACATTCTAACTACTTAAATCTCTATCTTAATACCAAATAGCAAATAGCACAAAAGGCCTCAGGGAATGTCTGCTTTTTGGTTGATTAGCCTTATTCTCTCATCCTGGAATTAAACTACCACTGAAGTAGGATTTTTCATGGGAAATTGGTGTGACATTTTAAAAGAATATTGATAACAGAAGACCAGAAATCCAGATTTTCAGCATTATCATTAATGTCTGGAAACCAGCAGACATTGAGTTCTTGCACTTTTGAATATATATTGCTTTTTCACTTCTCACAAAACAACACCTGTTTTTCATCCAGAGAACTCCTATTTTCCCAGTGTATCCCCTCTGAAGATTTAAAGATATTTGACCTTCAGCTAGACAGATTGAAGCTTAAGTTCAAGCTTAAAACCTCCATATGTGAGAAGTGGCAAAGCTTTTATAAAATATCTAAGTAGAATGCATATGTGAAAAGTAAGAAAAAGGATGTCAGGCTGGATGGTCATCATCTCTAACTTGCTTTTAGTCTGAGGGCAATTTATGGCACAGATGACCTAAGGAATGCACTTCATGGGAGTAATGATTTTGCTGCAGCAGAAAGAGAAATTCGATTCATGTTTCCCAAAGGTGAGTTACAGATGAGTAATTAGTCAATTGCATTTCCTTATTGTTTGCTTTTTGTTTTATTTTGGGATGTAACTGGGGAAAAAGATAATATTTTTTCTTCCAATATATTTTGTCATATTTTCAAGTTGTAGTTACTTAAAACTTAAAGCCAAGAATGAAAAACTCAACATTATTCTCAAAACTAAATTGTGCCCTCTAGGAAATCTTTTGAGAAGAGTTTACTTTTTTCTTACTTTTTTATTGGACTAGATATATTTAGGGTTTCTCTCCTTCTGTGTTGTAATTCCTTTTATTTATCCCTAATGTATCAGTGTGGTTTGTTACACATGAAAAAAAAGAATCTCCCTTGGAAATTAGGATCGATTTACCATTTTCTCTAACAGTTTACTGTGTGCCTAACAAACATGCAATTGTGAAATTAATAATTCTCGGCCTTTTTTGTTTGTTTCCATCCTGTTATGGAGGTTATACATCTTTTAGAAGTGGGCACCATGAGGACAACACTGAGGTTTTTAGTTTGTTTTCAATAATTTTAGAACAAAGGAAATTTGGTGATTTTCATTATAAGGAAAAAATGCAAAGCATCAGGTAGTTTTAAATTTATTTATTTATTTGGCATGTTATTTCTAACTCATTTAGACTTATTCCTCAGTATTTTATACTGAAGATTATTCAAAGAAAACTGAAAATTATCTTGGATATTTAAAAGTCCTGATTTAAAACAAAAACTTTTATAGATATTTTGTACACACAGAAACATTGCATACTTATTCTTACTGATCTAATTTCTGTCACATATCCATTGTATTAAGGTATCTTTTTCTTCAGAACTGTTTATTGTGTAAAATTTCAAAGATACACATAAGTAGAATACTCTAACAAAGCCCTAATGAGCCCATCACCCAGTTTTAACAATTGTAGTCAGTCTTATTTCATCTATAACCCCTGCTCCCACTTCTTCTGCTACCATATTATTTTGAAGCATATCATGAACATCAGATTTTTTTAAATGTGGTAGTACTTTAGGTTTAGTCCTACTAGTGAATTAGACTTTTCCTCTTTAGCTTTTAACTAAAATAGGATAAAAACTCACTTTATCTTAAGTAGAAGATGTATTTGGAAGCTCTTCTTACTCATAGGGTTATATCCCTAAACTGTTATTTTAGATTGCCTTTTATTTTACCCATTAATGAATTTAAGAGATATAGTTAGAAGCAGCAGTTGTAGGATAAATATAAGTGATTAATTACCTACCACACTGCAGATCTTTTGCTGTGGGAATATGGAGTTCTTTGGAGTAAGTTCTCAGAGTCTGTGGTATGAGCTCCATCTTGTTTAGCAGTCATTCAATAACTATGTGCACAACCCTATATTATGAGTGACTAAAGCGAGTTATAAAGATATTCAAATACATATTCCAAACACTTGAAAAAATTAGTGCTCTTCCCTTTCCCTTTTAAGAGGGATGGCTGGTAAATCTTTGCTGTCTTCTATTTATTCAACAAATTTGTTGAGTTACCAACTTAATCAATATAAAGTCAAGTAAGATGTCCCTGTTCTCAAAATGATCTTATTTTAAAAGTCTATGAAAATTTACAGTGCAACATATAAATTATAAATGTCATTAAAAAGTGCAATGAAAGTTTATCAACATAAGAAACATGAAAAAATCTTTTATTTTCTCATGAATTCATCCATCCCTAGGTGCCAGAGACAAATAATAAATGGTCAGCAAAAATAGATGAGGTAGAAATAATCCAAAAATGAAGTTAAGGAAATAATTTCATTCAATAGCATCAAGAATAATAAAATACTTAGGAATACATTTTTAATTTTTTATTTTTTAAAAAATATATCTTTATTGATTTCAAAGAGAGAACAGAAGACGGGGAGAGAGAGACAGAAACATCAATGTTGAGAGAGTCATTGATCAAGTCCGCAACCCGGGCATGTGCCCTGACCGGAAATCGAACCCTGATCGCCTGGATCCTAGGTTGATGCTCAACCACTAAGCCACGCCCAGCAGGGCAGGAATACATTTTTTAAAGGAGTGCAATTCTTGTGCACTGAAAGGCACAAAACATTGCTGAGAGAAATCAAAGAATATCTAAACAGACATTCCATGTTCATGGATCAGGAGAGTCAGTATTGTCAAGATGGCAACTGGATGTCCACATGCAAACAAACAAACAAAAACTTAGACACTTGTTTCATAGACCTAAATGTAAGAGCTAAAAACATCTAGAAGAAAACAGGAGAAAATCTTCATGACCTTAAGTTGAATAAAGAGTTCTTATATATGACATCAAAAGCATGGTCCATAAAAGAAAATATTGATAAATGGAACTACATCAAAATTAGAAGCTTTTGTGTTTCAAAAACCATCATTAAGAATATGAAAAGAGCCCTAGCTGGTTTTGCTCAGTGGTTAGAGCATCAGCCCTGGGACTGAAGGGTCCTGGGTTAGATTCCGGCCAAGGGCATGTACTTTGGTTGCAGGCTTGATCCCTGGTCCTGGTCAGGGAGAGTGCAGGAGGCAATCAATCGATGTGTCTCTCTCACATAGATGTTTCTCTTTCTCTCTCTCTCTCTTCCACTCTATGAAAAGCAATGGAAAAAATATCCTTGAGGTAGGATTAAAAAAAAAAGAATATGAAAAGATGAGCCACAGACTGGGAGAAAATATTTACAAATCATGTATCAGATAAAGAACTTGTATCTGGAATACAGGGCAGGGCAAGAGTAGCTTTACTGTTCATGTAGAAAATAATACAATAGTTAATAAATAATAATACAAGAATAAACTCTGTTTCATGTACTCACAACTGTAAACCTACTTTTGCTCCATCCTTTATAAAGAACTCTTACAACTCAATAATAAAACAGACAACCCAGTTAAAAACTGGGTAAGAAATTTGAATAAGCATTTCACAAAAGACATATGAATGGCTAATATGCACATGAAAAAGTGCTCAACATAATCATTGGAGAAATGCAAAATAAAACCACGATGAGATACCATGTCATACCCACTAGAATGGCTGTAATCAATGGTAAGGATATAGCAATGCTGGGATCCTCATACATTATTGTAAAATGTTAGAGCCACTTTTGTATTTTTTAAATTTTATTTATTCATTTGTAGAGAGAGAGAAACATTGATTTGTTGTTCCACTTAGTTTATGCATTCATCAGTTGATTCTTGTATGTGCCCTGACTGGGGGTTGAACCCGCAACCTTGGTGTATCAGTACAAGGCTCTAACCAATGGAGCTACCCAGCCAGGGTTCACAGCCACTTTTGAAAAACAGTTCGGTGGTTTCTTAAAATATTTAACTTACCAGGTAACTCTGTTAGCAATTCCACTCCTAGCAGAATCTACCCACCCAAGAGAAATGAAAATATCCATCTACGTAAAGACACATGTGCATCTTTATATCAGCTTTATTTAATGTAACCCAAATTGGAAACAATCCAACTGTCTATCAATGGATTAACAAAATGTAGTATAGCTATACAATGGAATACTACTCAATTAAAGGAACTGATTGCTGATACATGCTACAACATGGATGAACCTCAAAACATTATGCCAAGTGAAAAAATCCAGGCACAGAAGACCACATGTTATATGATCCATTTATATGAAATGTATAGAAAAGACAAATTTTTAGAAACAGAAAGAAGCTCAGTAATTCCAGGGGTAGGAGTGGGAGTGGGAAATTGCAAATGGGCACAAGGAAACATTTTCAAGTGATCAAAGTGTTCTAAAATGATTGTGGTGATGATCGTACAACTAAGTTTATTAAAACTCAGTTGTATACATTGGTGGATTTATATGTGCTGCCAAAGTGAGCACCATATTTCTCTTTTTATCATATGTAAATTATACCTCAATAAAACTTTTTAAAATTATAAAAACATAGATGAGGTCTGTGCTCCCATGGAGTTTATAGTCTAGTGTTTAAAAGATAGCTATTGCCTAGCTGGACGTCACTCAGCAGTTGAGCATTGACCTAGGATCCAGGAGATTGAGGTTCGATTCCCTGTCAGGGCACATGCCCAGGTTGTGGGCTCGATCCCCAGTTGGGGGGGTGCAGGAGGCAGTGATCAATAACTCTTGTCATTGATGTTTCTCTCTCTCTCTCTCTCCCTCTTCCTTACTCTCTCTGAAATCAATGAAGATATATATTTTTTTAAAAAAAGATAGCCATTAAACAAGATTTACCCAAATAATTGTGTAGTTATTGTGATAAGTGCTATACAGGCAACTATAGAATATGATGAGAGACTGTAAGAAAGGTCTGTCTGAGGAAGTGACTTTTTAGTTGAGATCCAAGGAATAAGTAGTGGTTAATCAGAGTAAAGGGAAGAATGTTCTAGTAGAAGGAGTAGCATGTGCTCAAATCATGAGCAGGAAAGAACATGGTACATACTATAAACAAAGAAGATCCTGGTAAGAGAAACAATATGAGGTTGGAGAGGTAGGTAGAAATCACATGTTATAGAGTTTTATGGACCACGATAATGGAGTTCTGTCTTGATTATATATGGAAGGAAGAGCCAATGAAGCATTTTAAGGATGGGAGTGACATAATTAGATTTTTATTTTTAAAATAGGGCCTGGAATCCTGGCTGGGTAGCTCAGTTGGTTAGAGCGTCATCCCAATACACCAAGATTGCGGGTTCGATCCTTGGTCAGGGTACATACAAGACTCAACCAATGAGTGAATGGATGAGTGGAACAACAAACTGATGTTTCTCTCTTTTTCCCCCCTTCCTCTCTTAAGTCAATAAATTTTTAAGTGGCACTTTGATGGAGATCAACCTCAAAAGACCTACTAAGACTTATAAAACATATTCTTTCTTGTATAAATATATTTTTTGTTGTATTGCAAGTCTGATTCACCTCCATAGTGTTCAAATAAGGCTGAAAAGATTAAAATTTCCCCAAGTTTTAAAACAATTTCTTTAAAAGCCTGAAAAAATAAGAGCAGGAATATGAATACATTTTATATAGACAGACATAGGTTTTATGTATATATTCAGTAGTCTACAAGAGAGCAAGAACTACATGTACTATTATTCATTGTTGTATCTACCACTTTGCAAAGTGCCTGCCATTTTGTTGGCAGGAATTTTTGGAATGAATTAATCTCCTTGATTTTACATGTTCTTCATATTTTTCTTTCTTTTTTTAATAAATATGGAACACTTCATGAATTTGCATGTCATCCTTGTGCAGGTACCATGCTAATCTTCTCTGTTTCGTTCCAATTTTAGTATATGTGCTGCCGAAACGAGCACCATATTTTTCTTTTTCATAACATTGTGTGTTATAACATTTACTGTAAAAAACATGGAAGTGAGAATGCAGAAAAGGATAGAGTTGAAAACATAATCAGAATCTTACACATGATTCCTATTAGCATTTTGATGTTTCTTGCCAGTCTTACGTAGTCTTATTTTTTTAATGTGTGCTTGTGTGTTTTTGAATCAACTGTTATGCTATGTATCTAGTTCTGTTCCCTTAAAAAACTTTAGAAGTATTTCTCAAGCCATGAAAATTTCTTTGACGGTACCCCTTTTAATGACTGTATAATATTTCATCATTTATGTTGGCTTTAATGGGGATGCATTTGTATTTGCAGTGATTGTTGAGCCTATTCCAGTTGGACAAGCTGCTAAGGACTATTTAAATTTACATGTAACACCAACTCTGCTTAAAGGACTCACAGAGCTTTGTAAGCAAAAACCAGCAGATCCTTGTGTAAGAAATCTTTTTATTCACACTAGAGAATATTGACTATAGCTTTCATATCTCAAACATTGTAGTCTTTGAAACAGCGTAAGTACTGAGAGTCATTTTTTAAAACTTTTATATAGAGTTTAGATACTTCTGTGTGTATAACTTTTGATTACTTTTCTTTTTTAAAAAAAATATATCTTTATTGATTTCAGAGAGGAAAGGAGAGGGAGAGATAGAAACATCAATGCTGAGAGAGAGTCATTGATTGGCTGCCTCCTGCATCCCCCCAACTGGGGATAGAGCCCATAGCCCGGGCATGTGCCCTGACTGGGAATCGAACCCTGATCACCTGGATCCTAGATCGATACTCAACCACTGAGCCACACCCAGCCAGGCTTACTTCTCTTCTTGCTGTGTTTTAACTCTAAGAGCATTATTCCTAAATATACTTTAAATTATTGCATTCTTCAGTTGCTGAGCATTGTTTTCTGTATAATTTATATAATCAAATAATAAAAGCATATCTACTTAAATTTTGTTCAACATTTTTGTTTCTCATGATATCTAAATTTTTAAAATAGAAAACTTACATTTATTTGCACCTCTAGGTGCCTCAACATTGCTTAGTCAGGGGGAGAATGATTGGGTAGGAGGAACTAAGATGGTTGTCCAGGGCCGAATGTTATCCTGGTCCCTTCTTTACAGGTACTCCCACCCATTTGAAGATTCTCAGAGATAATTAGGGTAGGTTATTTTAGTAAAGCCCTACCAAAATAGTTTCTCTAAGTTCTGTTACTATTCTTTGGAAAACAAAAGATTTAATCTCTCCTACCAACTTTGTCACTTTCAAAAAGAAAAGATAAGTTATTTCTTTAACAACTTTTTCATTGTGAAAATATGTTTATTTAGTAAGAAACCCAAAACTACTGAAAAATGTAAAGAAGAGAGGAAAAAGCTACCCTTGGTTCTATTTCTTAAACATGGTTTTTGAAGTTATTTTGCCTAGATTCAACTGTGACTCCAGAAACCGAACCTCTCTCTGAGTCTCTCTGTTCTCATCAGTAAAATGTAGATATTTTAGTACCTTCATCCGTTGTAGCAATATTGTTAGGATTAAATGTATAAATGCATGCAGAATTCTTAGTCAAAGTATCTGGTGCATAAATGCTCAAATATTAGCTGCTGCTATTGCTAATTTTTCCAGTCCTTTGCTCAGATTTTTAATATGACTATATAAAAATATATACCCCATAAATGTCACTATATTTAAATATATATTTTATAGAGATTATTTAAATAGTTACATAATTTTTCTTTTATTACCTTTTTCATTCTTTTTTGCTGTTAAAGTTGTTTGCTGTTATAAATACTGTACCAGTAAACATCTGAGCTTTTCACACATTGAGACCATTTCATTTGGAAAGAAATCACAAAGTAGAATTATAATTTAAAACATAAAAAAATTTTAAAAGTTGGCCTTTAAAGAACTTGCTTTATTTTTTAATTGTTATTAATTTTTAATAAGTAATATTTGAATATAGTATAATTCAAAAGTCACAAAAAGGTATGTAATGAAAAGTAACTCTCCTTGCCATTCCTGTTCCGATTGTGCTCCTTGAAGTAAATCACTGTTACCAGCCTCTAGTATAACCTTTATAAGGAAACCTATGCATATACAGAGTGGGCAAAAGTAGGCTTACAGTTGTTCATATGGAAAAATATATCATAGAAGAATAAATAATAATACAAGAATAAACTCTGTGTTTCGCTTACAACTATGAACCTACTTTTGCCCACCCCTGTATAAGCATATATATCTATGTGTACTTAAAAATACACATACAAATGCTAGCTCCTAAACATACTATTTGAAACTTTTTACTTTATTTACTTAATATATAATAAATTATTAGATAGCTCCACAAACAAAATTGCCCTATTTTAAAAGAACAGCTCATGACATTCTGTTGTATGAATGTTGTACAATTTATTAGTCACATAAAGATGGTCGTTTAGGGTGTTTATACTCTTTTGTTATTACAAACAGCTATAGTGAATATCCTCATTCATAATAAATTTGTACAAATGGAAATACTGAGTCAAAAAGAATGTTATTTTGATGGTTTTTGATATGTACATTTCTAGCTTGGATAAATATTTCCAAATTACCTTTTGTAGTGGTCATACCATTTTATATGCTTACCAAAAATAATTGAGAGTACCTGATGTTTTTTCATGCTTTGTGGGATTTTTTTACCATTCTAATAGGTTAAAAATGGTACCTCATAGTTTAATTTGTATTTGTTTTGTTATGGGTGAGTCTGTGTGTCTTCATATATGCTTCTTAAAGACATTTGCATTTCCTTTCCTATGAACTTCCTCCTCATGCTCTTTGTCAATTTTTTTTTTGGGGGGGAGCAATTCCTAGATCTTATCCTTATTGTGTAGGAACTCTATGTTTAGAAATTTAACCTTTTGTGGTTTAGTAGACTTTTTCAATTTATCACTTGTCTGACTATTTTCATGATATATTTTAATTATAATTTAGCTGAATTAGTGGAGCTCTTTTATGGCTTCTAGGTTTCTAGTCATATTTAAAGAAGATTTTCTGCTCTAAGGTTATAAATAACGTTTTCTCATGTTGCCTTCTAGTACTTTTTATGTCTCCTTTATTTTACATATATCTTTGATCATCTGGAGTTTATTTTGCCATAGGGAATGAGAGAAGAAGCCACATATTATTTTCCATTTGGTTACCCAGTTAACCAAAATTATTTATTGAACAATCCATATTTTCCTCACAGATTTAAGATTCCACTTCAGCCTGGCCAGCATGGCTCAGTGGTTGAGCATCTACCTATGATCCAGGAAATGGAGGTTTGATTCCTGGTCAGGGTGCATGCCCAGGGTTGCAGGCTCGATCCCCCCAGCAGGGGGCATGCAGGAGGCAGCCAATCAATCACTCTTTTATCATTGATGTTTCTATGTCTCCCTTCCCTTTCCTTTCTCTGACATCAATAAAGACATATTTAAAATAAAATAAAATATTGATGAAAGCCGATTTATTTTTTTATTTTATTGCTTATGCTTTTGATGTCATATCTAAGAATCTGTTGCCAAATCCACGGTCATGATGATTTGTTCCTATGTTTTCTTTTAACACATTATATACGGGAAACGTATTTATACGTTTTACGTTGACTGGTAGTAGAGCGCGCGATAAAAACTACCCACAAACAATGTGTTAAGATTTTAATGGTTTTAGCTCTTATATTTCAGTTGTTGATCCATTATTTCTGGACTCTCAATTCTATTCCACTGGTCTATCTATATGGCAGAACTACACTGCTTGGATTTACAGTATGCAAGGCTGTCAGGTACAGATCCAAACTGGAAGATTTGGAAGTTAGAACAAAGTCAGAAAATACTCCAACTTTGTTCTTTTTCACGATTGTTTTGGCTATTCAAAGTCCCCTTGAAATTCTATGTAAATTTGAGTTTTGACTTTTCCACTTCTGCAAAAATTACCTGGAAATTTTCTAGAGATTGTGTTGAATCTGCATAGCACTTTGGGTAGTATTGCTATCTTAACATCGTAACAGCTGTAAGTCTTTCTATCCATTAACACAGGATGTCTTTATTTATTTAGGTCTTTAAATTTCTTTCAGCTATGTTTAATAGTTTTCAGTTATAAAGTTGGTTAAATTTACTCCTAGATACTTGTTTTTCAGTGCTATTATAAATGAAAGTGATTTCTTAATTTCCTTTTTGGATTGTTCCTTACCAATGTATAGAAACAACTGATTTTTATGTGTTGACCTTGTAACCTACAACTTTGCCCAATTCATTTATTAGCTCTAGCAGCTTTCTTGTGGACCCTTTAGGGTTTTCTGTATATAGATCATGTGCTTTGTGAGTGGAGATAGTTTTACTTCTTCCTTTCAGTTTGGATCTGTACCTGACAGCCTTGCATACTGTAAACTTTAGTGTTTCAGTTTTTCATGGTCATTTTCCCCCCATTATTCTTAGAGTGATTTTGAAAACTGTTTAAGTTTTAAATTGATATACTATATATTGAAGAAAATATTAAATGTTTACTAAGTTAAGGTTTTTTTCTTTTTTCCATAGATTTGGCTAGCCGATTGGCTGCTGAAAAATAATCCCAACAAACCTAAACTTTGTCACCATCCAACTGTAGAAGAGCCTTAGTAAAATAAACTCCTCCAAAGAACAAGTCACGAAAGGTCTCATTGTAAGAGGCATGCTTCTAACCTTCTACTTCAAAACAAATAAACTGTAATTCCTAAAGGCTTAAGTAACTACATGTGAAATAAATTATTTCTTAAAGATACATTTTAAAAGAATAATTGTGTTTTGTGCAGCAGATAAGATTATCTAAGGAAAAATATAGATTTAGAGTATGATTTTTTTTAAAATAACAAAATTGTATTTATTTATAGGCATTTAGAATGTCAAAACAACTGCAACTTTTTTGGGGTGGATTACAAACTGGTATTCAGTTAACAGAACAGCAATTAATTCGTATAAGAGGCATCAGAGACAAAGAAAGGTGAAAAACTACCATCCTTACATAACTAATTTGTCCTGTGCACCAACAAGAACCTGCTTTAAACTTCAGTGCCAGTTTACAGCCCTCATACCACACGCAAGGTGAGTGGCTATTGAAAATACCACCAGGACAGGGCTAGCTAGCATTGAACTCATTTGGTAGTATGTTAACTATACCAAAAAAGATACTGTACAGTTTAAAAACAAATTTTGCGTAGCCTTACATTTCATTATTTTTCTTTAAAAGGAGTGAGTTGTGTAAAGGGAGGTTAAGTGCTTTACAGACCAAAAAATTAGAACTAACTTATTTATCTCTTCTGTCTCTTCATCTTTCTTCTTTTCCTCCTTTTTCTTGCTTTTTTTCAGCCTTAATGACTCCCTTTTTAGCCACATAGCCTTATGCAAGAATATGTTTTTCCTTCAGCTTAGCAGCCTTATGAACATGGCTTGTCATCTGCAGCAGTGTTAGTCCACTTGTCTCCCAGTTTCTTTGCAGCATCACCAATACATAGGATGTCCCCAAAAAATGTATACACACACTTTGAATAATTATAAAAGCAGTGTTTATTAAATACATTTTATTTTCAAAATTGAGCTCTCAGCTGTTACAGTGTGTGTACATTTTTTGGGACACCATGTATAAACTGGATGTTCTTTGAATTGGGGGCAATAGTCAGAACAATGAAAAGATTTAAGGAGGCCTCTTGGGTGCATTGGGATCTTTGAATTTCTTTTTTGTTTACCCTTTAGAAAGATTATGGGTTTTCATTTCTCTTTTATAATGGGTCTTGTCTGCCTTTGACATATCTTCAAAGTTTCCTTTCTCTAGCAGACATAGTCTTTTACCTCTTAGCACTTTTCGGAAAGCTCAGAAGGTAAATGAAGCATCTAAGTGGTTTTTTGGGGGGGTTTTTTGTGTGTTTTTTTTAACATATCTTTATTGATTTCAGAGAGAGGAAAGGAGGGAGAGAGAGAGAGATAGAAACATCAATGATGAGTCACTGATCAGCTGCCTAGCCAGCAACCAGGGCATGTGCCCTGACCGGGAATCGAACCCTGATCTCCTGGATCCTAGGTCAATGCTCAACCGCTGAGCCACGCCCAGCCGGGCATAAGTGCTTTTTCTTGTGCTCCTCCAGCAGGTTTGCACAAAGAATGCATATAATGACATTTTGCTCCTCGGATTCGTAGGATCTCCTTTGTCCATTTTTAGTTTTCTTTTTCCTCAGTGAGGCACAAAATCACCCAGTACCTGTCTTGGCCTCACTTGCCCTGGTGCTGTTTCTATATAGCTCATGTATTGCAGTGGTTGTCAGTTTAGGGTATGATTTTTTACAATGATGTAACATTAAGTAATAGAAGGCTGATGTAAGATGTTGCTCTATTATTATTTTTTTAAGTTGGAGGAGTTAAGACATGGGATTTTAGTTATGATATTTTCCCAAGCATGCATCTTATATTTAGATGCATAATAAATGTACAGTTCAGACAGTTTAGTTTTAAAAGTATAAGTATATAAACAATTACTTGATATAATGAAAATGGGCAGAACCAGGTTATGATTTTAATCAATCATTTATACAACTATTTCCTCCACATTATTAATAGCTCTCCAAGGGTGACCAGTCACTGATTCTTATTTGCATGGTATTTTGCTGGTTGAAAGTCCTACATCAGAGGACCCCCTCACTCCTGGGCAACATGGAATGATTGGTCACTCTATCAAATAGACCTTATATTAGTGTTTCCCAATTATGTTTTTGTGACGAGGTACTAATTTTATTTATTTATTTATTTGATATGTTTTTATTGATTTTAGGGAGAGAGAAAGGGAGAGGAAGAGAGAGAACAGCATCAATGAGAGAGAGAAATATTGATCAGCTGCCTCCTGCACACCCCCTACCGGGACTCAAGCCTGCAACCGGGGCATGTGCCCTGACTGGGAATCAAACCAGTGACTTCTCGGTAAATGGGATGATGCTCAACGAAGTGAGCCACACCAGCCAGGGTGACAAGGTAGTAGTTTTAAAAAAATGTTGTGAAATTATTTATTAAAGAAATTAATAAATTATTAACCACATAGGATGGTCTACAATTAAAACTTTTTAACTAAAAGCAGTTTATGGCAGATAGTCCTGTCCTGGTCTAGAATCTTCCCTGACAAAAGTCAATCTTTACATTATTTAAGATTATTGCCCGGCCAGGCGTGGCTCAGTGGTTGAGCATCGACCTAGGATCCAGGCGATCAGGGTTCGATTCCCGGTCAGGGCACATGCCCGGGTTGCGGGCTTGATCCCTAGTTGGGGGCGTGCAGGAGGCAGCCAATCAATGACTCTCTCATCATTGATGTTTCTCTCTCTCTCCCTCTCCCTTTCTCTCTCTGAAATCAATAAAGATATATTTTAAAAAAAATAATTATTGTCTTTTTGCATCTACAATAACATACCTGTGGAATGTTAAACTAGTTTCCTTTTTCGGACCCCTCAAAGCACAGGCTCTGCACCAGAGTGAAGACCACAAATTCCCTCATTGTTATTATTATCATGTTAACTGTTGACTGTTAACTATCCTGTACCCACCTATATAAAAGAAGCATATGTCTATAATTTTAACTTTTTATCCAAACCCAGATGTTCCCCTGCTTTGCTTTCTCGTGCCTCCCTAATCTATCACCAATAGATTTCACATAATCAACTTACATCTTCTCTTTTGATTGTAATGTATAACATAGGGTGCAAAACTGCCATTTTTCTGGAGCATTTTTTCACTCTGTTGAGATTTTGCTTCCTGGCAGTTATCATAAGTTTGGCTCAAATAGACTCACAAAAATTCTCTACAGTTTTGAATGTTTCTTACATTGACAAGAGGAACTGAATTGTCTGGCATCAGGGCAAGAGCTTGGAGGGCAGCTTTCTCTCACAGAAGTGCTGGCAGAGGTCATTGTTTCTTTGATAAGCCGTCCCCCGACAGAGCCATCAGACTGGTGCCATATCTGAGACTCCATCAACCTGGCCACTGTTTGCTCCATCCTGGTGACTCCCTGAGGGCCCTCCCCATCTAACTTTTTGGTCCACCCAAGCTGTTTCCGGTGTCTTTTCTATACAAATGGCCTGTCTTGGCTCATGCTTCAGATTTTCCTAAAATCTCTCAAACAAGCAGCATCTGTCCTCAGCATGTCCCCTACCACTCACTATGTGGCCCCAGGTCCAGCACTAGCAGCAGCTGGCCTTGGTTCACAGCTTGGACTCTCCTGGGCACATCCAAGTCCAACACAAGTAGCAACCATCTATAGATGGCTTCATAGTTCATGCCAGGTGGCCCTCAGGCAGAATACAGGCAGTGGCTGACCTTGGCCTGCACCTCCTGGGAAGCCACAGAGCCAGCACACCTGATGACAGTTTCAGATCACATCGAAGCACCACCACCCAACCACCTCCACAAATGACACACTCAAGGGGCAGACTCGGAGGGCACCAGAACCCCACTGAAGTAAGTCCTGCTCTGTGGGGCAGGCACCTGCACAGCTGATCCTCCACAGTGGTTGGAGGTCAATGGTTGTTGGTTGTAGCCAGTCCTGGCAGCTGATCAGCCTGGGGATAAATCCCTCCCATTGATGTGCCAATAGCAATCAAGCTTCAACTACAAGGGAATGGTGCAAACAGCCCACCTGGGGAGGCGTACCACAAGTCCCCAGCTTGGGTGATCTGGGAGGCTGTGCCACTGGACCCTACAGAACACCTGTTGCATTAGGCCTCTCTACCAAGACTTACCAACTTTACCTAATACATAGAAACAGACACAGGGAGGCTGCCAAAATGAGGAGACAAATATGTCCCAAATGAAAGAACAGAACAAAACTCCAGAAAAAAATAAACAAAATGAAGACAAGCAATCTACTAGATGCAGAGTTCAAAACACTTAACTAAGGATATTCAATGAACTTAGTGAGAACCTCAACAGCATAAAAAAGGGCCAGTCAGAAATGAATAATTTAGAATCAACAGTAGAGTAGATGACACCAAGAATCAAATCAGTGATTTGATATGTAAGGAAACAAAAAACACCCAATCAGAACAGCAAAAATAAAAAATCCAAAAAAATTTTTGATAGTGTAAGGAGTCTCTGGGACAACTTCAAGTGTACCAACATTCACATCATAGTGATGTGGAAAAAGAAAGCAAGAAATTGAAAACCTATTTGAAAAAATAATGGCAGCAAACTTCCTTAACTTGGTGAAGGAAAAAGACATTAAAGTCCAGGATGCACAGAAAGTCCCATACAAGATGAACTCAAAGAGGCCCACACCAAGACACATCATAATTAAAATGCCAAAGGTTAAAGACACAGAGAGAATCTTAAAAGCAGCAAGAGAAAAGCAATTAGTTACCTACAAGGGAGCACCCATACGACTGTCAGTTGATTTCTCAACAGAAAATTGGCAGCCTAAAGGGAGTGACAAGNAATCTTAAAAGCAGCAAGAGAAAAGCAATTAGTTACCTACAAGGGAGCACCCATACGACTGTCAGTTGATTTCTCAACAGAAACTTGGCAGCCTAAAGGGAGTGACAAATATTAAAAGTGATGAAGAGCAAGGACCTACAACCAAGATTACTCTACCCAGCAAAAGACAGATAAAGAGCTTCCCAGATAAGAAAAAACTAAAGGAGCCCTAGGCAGTTTTGTTCAATGCTTAGAGTGTTGGCCTGTGGACTGAAAGGTCCTGGGTTCAATTCCGGCCAAGGGCACATACCTTGGTTGCAGGCTCGATCCCCAGCCTCAGAT